AGATGAATCCAGTTCATACCACACTATCTTATTTTTCTTGGATTCATCTCAATAATGGAAGCCAGAATATCTCGGTTGGTATAACAATAGATCATGGGCTGAACAGCTGAGGTTAGATCCCTGGTGGGGGAAGAGATTGTTCTCTTTTCCACAGCATTCAAATTGACTCTAGGGCCCTCCCAGCCTCTGATCTGATGGGTACTGGAGCCTCTTTTCTGGGGGTAAAGTGGCTGGGACATGAAGCTGACTCTCAACTCCATGTAATACCGAGTTCAAGAATGACTATACATCTCCACGGTTTAGTGCTTATTTAATTAATAACAGGGACAAGTATACATTACAATCTGAATATTAAACTCCCATTGTGACTAGGTATTTCCAGTGGCCTCCTTCCTTCAGGCTTTTCCACAAAAATCCTGTATGCATTCCTATTCTTCTTGTATGTGCTACATGCTATGCTTATCTCATTCTAATGGACTTGATCATTCTTATTACATTTGGCAAAGAGTTCAAGTTAGCTCCTCTTTATGCAATTTTCTCCAGCCAACTATTATGTTATCCCTCTTCAGTCCAAATATTTTCCTCAGCACCCCATTTTCAGATACCCTCAATCTATGTTCGTCTCTTTATGTTGAAGCCCACGTTTCACACTCATACAAGACTACAGGCAAAATTATAATTTCATATATTTTTATTTATACGTTTTTAGAAAGCAGACAGGAAGACAAAAAAATTCTGAACTGAATGGCAACAAACTTTATCTGAATTTAACCTGCTCTTAGTTTCATATTAATCAAATTTTGATTCATCACTGTCATTCCAAAATGTTTGGAACTTCGCACATTTTCAGAGTGTCTATTAGATATCATGATGTTATGTTCCTGTTCTGCATTCTGTTGATGAGACATCAACATATACATAGTTCTCTCTGTGCTTACTTCTCAACCAGCCAGCTTACTGGCATCAGATAGAGCTTCTGTGTTTTTCTATATGGTTTTTATGTAATCTCCCACTAGAGTTACATCATCAGCACAGACCAGAAGCTGATGTGTATCATTTAATTTCAGTCACACCAGGGATTTTCTGGGCCACCATAATGGCATATTCTAAAACAAAATTTAGAAGCAATGGTGATAGAGCACATTAATTATTATTAATTTTATTATTTAACTGTTTCTAAATAAATAAATAAATACATTAATACATAATAAGTTAATAAAATTATTAATCATTATTAAATATTACTTAAACTTTGTGATGAAATTTCATGAAAGCCCTTTCTTAAGTAGTTACATGCATAGATGAAGGGACAGATATGACTAAACAATAATTAGTGTATTTCTGTTATTTCTGTTGTGAACAAGGCAAGGAGATGGAGAAAGCCCATGCATGCCAGGACTATGTCCTGCAGTTACTGCCCAATTAGGTGACCTATATGAAAAATTTCTGTGAAGTACTACACTTGTAATCAGTGACATACATTTCTTATTGCCATGCAGAACTTCACTGTGTATATGTGTCTTCAAGAAGGCAAGTATGTCACACAATCTCGTATTAAGTTTCTGGTTTAATAGAGTTAGTCTCTCTTATTTTCACATGTCTACTCATGATAATGATCATTACTATAACTAATTTTACTATTACATTATCCTAAGAGTTTCTTCTATTATCACATTTGTTGTTGTTGTTTATTGTTAACTGTCAAAAACATTACATTAACAATATTACTGGTGTTATTACAGTAAGTTTTTTTAAGATTATTATTTCATGTTTATCTATATTCTCACAATTAGCATTAGGATTTTCATTTACAGGTGAAAAGTTTATGTGGTCACAGATATGCTTTAAAAAATGAGTAAGCTCTTAATGTTGGGGGCCGCGCCATAGTTCAAGTGGTTAGTCACTGGCTTCCCACTGCGGCGGCCCAAGTTTGATCCCGGGTCTGGTCAAGTGGGATTTATGGTGGACATAGTGGCGCTGGGGCAGGTTTTCTCCGAGTACTTCGGTTTCCCCTGCCAATCTTCATTCCACCAAATGCTCCACAATCACCCTCACCTATCATCTGGGGCTGGTACAATAGGCCAGAAGTGACCACAGTACAAGAGACTTAGTCCCACCCCACTAGCAATAATAAAAAAGAGCTCTTAATGTTTCTGATGAATGTGCATCACAGTTAAATTTAGTGTCTAGGCCATTATTCTTTATTCAGGCTTTTTCTTAAAGCACTGTATTTAAGAAACTGGTTATATTTCTGTGGCAAGAGGAAACTAACCTGAAGGTTCTACACAAAAGAGAGGATCTTAGTCAGTGTCCCAGTGTTTGAGATTAGTTTTTCTAATGGACAGTTGTTCAGACTAGTTCTAACAGACCTCTTAGATTAGTTCCCCCAGTGCCTGAACACAGAAACAGGACCAGATCATAGAATTTTGAAAGATTATAGATAGAATTTTATAAGGCTATATGTAATGAATAGAGCCCAAGACATAGAAAATGAGCTTTAACAAACAAAACAAATTCTAAAGCAACAGTCTTTTGATAGTGTAAGTCTATGTTGTTCGGCTTATTCATTTAATTCTATTTTACGAAACTTTGTTAGTGTTCTTCAGTAATACTGTGCCTAAGACATCTCTGAGGGTGCAATATAATCATATAGTGATAGTGATTACAACAACCTAAGAAGGTCATTAGATTCCATTGTCAGTTTAAATGCTAACCAGTATTACTCTGTTGGAGATCTCAGTGAACACAGGAATTTTCTTTCATACAGTTACCTATTTAAAGTATGATGTCTTTACTCGTATATAGACTACAGCAGCATCTTAAAAAATTCTAGACATTTTCTTCTCCACTGAAATGAAAGGAAGTAGTGATTCAAAGTCATGGACCATACCATTGCAAAGAGGAAAATCTGCCTCATTACATAATAGCTGCCAACATCAAAATTTCAAATAAAAAGTACACCACTGGAACTTAACAAAGATTCCTCTTCATGTATCTAAAATGAAAAAATAACTCTTACCCAAAACGCAAATCAGGAACAGATTATATTCTGCCGATTGAAGGAATGAAAAGTTATCAGGAACAACTTTCTAATATAAAATATTCTTCATTAGTGCTACATTCTTTACCTCAAGTATGTTTCAGAATTTTTTTTGATGTTTTTATATTTTAAACTGAGATTTCCTTTAATAATTTTCTGTTAACAATTTAAACATCCTCACTCTGGTGATTATACCAGAAATATTGGAGTATGGACAAAATAATGTGAAGGAATGTTCTCAGGTTTATAAAAGGTGTTGTACCTAATAAATGGTTAAAGCTGGTTGTGTGGATAGCAGTGTCACTGTAACTACATGAGCCATTCTTGGAATGTGGTTACTCTACTTAGCTCCCTGGCACATAAAAGAGTTAATTTTATTTCTCTCTTCACTTCCTTACTTTCAAAGAAAATTAGTCACATTAATATGGGTACAGTACTGTTGGCCTTGGATTTGTTAAGAAAACCGCCTACCAAATTCAACACTGAACAATACATAAGGTGTTGATTCTGTGCATAAGTGTATACACTGTAAGACGGTCAGCATAAACCATGGACATGAATCAGTGTAACAGGACGCTAAAATATAACATCGTATAAATTACACAAATCATTATCAGTATATCAATAATCAAAAAATTAATGTGATATATGGTGCAGCTTACAGCTGCTGACATTCTTCCATTATTTGGTGTTAATGCAGACGTTCCAATGTGCAAAACTGCAGACATCTGTCATTCATACACTTAATATGTCCAACCTCATTAAAGAAAATATGTGTTTATACTGTATGCATACACAGATATATGTAACAGCTTCTTTGGGGAGCCTTTAAAGTTACTGTTTTTGGAATCACAGATCACACTCCAGAAAAATCAGCCCTCCACTGGTCCCTATCCTGAGCCGTATCAATTCAGTCCATACCACCCCATCCTATCTCCCTAAGGTCCATTTTATTATTATTCACCAACCCATGTCTTCGTCTTCCTAGTGGTCTCTTTCCGTCTGGCTTATGCACTGATATCCTGTATGCATTCATCTTTGCCACCATAAATGACATGCAGAGGATACCAGCAAAAAATATTTTAAAATAGGAAAAGGGAAAGGAAAATGAAAAGATGTTTAGGATTACCTTTGAAATCATGGAATTGTTTTGTTGTTGTTTTATATCTGTAACAGGTCTCAGTATGTGTAATGCTGCAAAGGGTGATAACAATGATGTTACCAGCAATCTGGGATATTACAAAAAAGAAGCAGGGAATGTGTTTTGAGCTTCTGATTTGGGCTGTGCTACAATAAACATGACCTCTGGTAGCAGTGAGGAACAGAAAGCAATGGGCCACAACAAAGCAGAAAGAACAAAAGGAAAGGTCTTCATTGGCAATTATGTTGAGGGTGATCATTCTTTTATCCAGTTAACTTCGATGAGAAGAGAATAAACAGACAAGTGGAAAAAATGACTTGAGAGAAAAGAAATATACACAAGAATGTGGGTATCAGTGTATTACATCAGGCCATAATTATTTTCCATTTATGTCTGGAACACAAAAAACACTGCAGTCTAAAGAATATAACATATCTCTATAGATGCTATTTAAAACATGTTAATGAGCAAATTTTTAGAAGAAGGAAACAGGGATTTAGTGTTAAAAAGAAAACAGAAGACTCTTCCAGTAGTAGCAGAGAAAGTGTCAGAAAGATGCACAAAAGTGGTCTTCCAAAAAATATGTGGACATTTTAAAAAATCCTGTGGAAGTTTCTTATATTTTAGGTAACAACAGAAATGGAAACTGCTACTTGTAATGGCTTGTCCACAACATGACAAATCAGATACTTGTAGACACACAGTCATTCAGAAACACATTATTAATAAGAAACAAGCTCAATTTGAACTTATATTTTCTGGCATGCCCCTAGTAAAAGGTGATAATACATAGTTCTAGAAAAGAAAAAATGTACTTACAGCTCTACTTCGTCTTCCTTTATTTGAAGTGGTTCATGTTCAATGGCAACAATTCCTTTCCCTTTGTTTGTAGAGCGTTTCCTTCTCCTGGGCTTCCTTATACTAGTATCCTATTAACAGAGAAATGTGACACTTAAATTCTGAAATGTTCATGTGCATAAAATATAATTATGTTAATTAATATAATTGCTACAAGCCGGAAGGTTGCGGGTTCAAGTCCCGATGAGGTCATTGGATTTTTTCAGTTGACCTAATCCTTCCAGCCGCACTAGGCCCTGGGGTTTACTCAGCCTCTAACATAAATGAGTACCAGGAATTAATTAAATAATTTTCCTGGGGAGTAAAGCATGGCTGGCGCGTAAGGCTGACAACCTCACCGCCATCTTTCAGCCGACTGTCCAGATAATGGGGGACCCTCAACATCTCACAACCCTATGGGCTTCCACAGTCTGGTACAGGGATAGCTTTACTTTTACTTTATTAATAAATAATAATAATAATAATAATAATAATAATAATAATAATAATAATATTTCCATGCTTATCATCAAGAATATGTCAAGAATATATGAAATCTACATAATTTACTTACATAACTTCTGCTGTTGAAAGTAATGGTCACATCACTATCCACTACCCGGTCCAACTTTCTATGAGGAGACAGTGGCGGTATCTTATGTCGACCACCTGAATTGACACCCGCACGCATGGGAGATGTGCTGTTTGGTTTTGGTGATATTGCCATTGGCATAGGCAGGACTGTTTTTGGTGTTGGAGATACTGCTATAGGTACTGGAGATATCCCCCTGCAGGCAGGTGAAACTCTTCTAGCAGGTGATATCTCTCTATGTGAAACACCTACAGAGAAGTAATGTTCCTCATTAAATCACCTAAACAATCAAATGACATTTGCATGTAAAGCAGTTTCTTTCCCGTTTTTCCAGTGACGTTCATGTTTGGTCATTTTCTGATGTAATTCTGTATGTTAAAGTTATATAATAAACTGTGGAACTATCACTTACAATAGCCCATCCATCCATCCTACCGTCAGTGTTATATTAGTCTGAGCTACCAACAGCAATATAAAATAAACCATAATGAAATACAGGACATCCAAAACCTAACCATTGCAGCTATGAATGATGTAATAAGTTCTGGTCACAAATAAAATGTTTTAAATAGAGATTTTAGTTCTCAAAGAGGTGAATATTGAAATTATGGTCTTCTGGATTGAGAGACTGTGAAGTGTGACTGGTGGATACCCATCAACCAACCTTTAAGGTGTGACATCCCACAAGACCATAAGCTTGAAAATATTTTACTGAGTACAGAAACAGTAAATAAAGTAAAAATATAAAATAAAAACAAGATCAAGGTCTTGTCAGAGTTACAACCCATTTTATTGTCAATGTATGAATAACCAGTATTATGGGGCTGCTCTTCTTCAATTCTGTTTGTGAATCCACTTTCAAATAAAGGATTCACCTATTGTTAATCACATAAGTTAATCTGACAGCTTGTATTGTGTCAAGAGAAGGAGCATTTATTGCCAGCAGAAAGACACACACATATCAACAGAATAACAAGAGAGTTTCAGGCTAGGGTACATTAAAGCTATTCTAAAATACTACAACTGAGAGAGTGAAGATAACTATTAGATGCTAAAAGTTTAAAGAGAATGATATGAATGTATACGAGGGGGTACCCAAAAGAAACCGAACTTATTTTTTTTTAAACTTATTTATTCAAATTTTAAGCACAAACCTTCAATCCCCTTCAAGTACTCTCCACTTACACTAATACACTTGTCTAGTCTTTTATTCCATTTTTCAAAACATTGTCTAAATTCATCTTTTGAGATGCTTGACAGCGCCTCCGTCGTTTTTTCCTTCACCTCAGCAACATCAGCAAAACGCTGATAATTTTTGAAAAAAAGTTTTGATCATTTCGGGACTCTTCTTTCAAAGCACAGCATGCTTCCACATGACCTTGTTTTTGTTCAGCAGTCAGCAGTCATGGCACGAATTTCGCAGCCACCCTTTTCATTCCCAAATCTTCTGTCAAAATTCGCTAAACTGAGCTCCAAGTCACTCCCGACAGCGCCACAATTTCTTCAATGGTCCGTCGTCGATCTTCCTTGATGATTTCACGAATTTTTTCAACATTTTCATGTGTTCAGGCCGTGGAAGGACGACCAGAACGAGGTTTGTCATCAATTGACATTTCACCATTTTTGAAACGGGAAAACCACTCAAACACTTGAGTTTTCCCCATAGCATCGTCCTTGTATGCCGTTTTTAACATTTCAAGAGTTTCTGTTCCACTTTTCCCGAGCAAAAAGCAGAATTTCACCGCCGCACGCTGTTCACGAAAATCAGCCATTGCAAAAACGACGATCACACAAAACAGTTGTCACTATAAACTCTGCCGAAGCTAGTCCTTGTCTTCTGAAGCAACGGTAGTTGGCTTATCGACTCAGGAATGTTAGCTCTATGCGCTCATAGCGGCAAAACGCGGTACTACAAAAGCTCTGCCCACAAAAAAATTAGTTCGATTTCTTTTGGGTACCCCATCGTATATAATATTGTTTTTAAAGATGAATGATACAGGAAACTGAAATTCGCAATGGAAGTCGAAACCAATGATACTCTTCCATTCTTGGACATTTTGGTCATGAAGAGGGATCCAAAATTGGGCACAAAATTGAACTGGAAACTTACTCATACTGGTCATTATCTGCATTTGAAGTCCAACCACCCACATCATATAAAAAGGGGAGTCACTGATAGTCTAGTCAGCTGAGCCAAGATCATATGTCAGGATCAGAAGGATTTCAACAATGAAATTAAAAACATAAGACACGATCTGATGTTTAACGAATACCCCAACAAATATGTTGATTCCATCATGAAGCCATATAGAAGAAATCATCCTTCTTCAGATACAATATACCAGGGCACTGTCCTTATCCCTTATGTTAAGCATAATTCTGATAAATTCATGCACTGGAAACCGTTTCAATCTCAGAACCATTTTCAAAACTAAATATGCACTCTATGGAACCCTGATGAAAACTGGACCGATCAGAGATGCCCAGAAGATGAAGATGTGTGTGTATAACATCCAATGTGATTGTGACAGATGTTACATTTGTGAAACAAGCAGATTTTCAGAATTATGCATTAAGGAGCATGAATGTAACCTGGCATAGGGTCTGCTGAAAAATCAAAATTAGCCCAACATGCATATGAAGAAGACCACAAAATATGTTGGAATGAAGTGAAGGTCTTGCAGATCAAACCAAAACACTACATGCAGGAAATACAAGGAATCTGCCCATATGTCTCTGATAAGACCACCCAATCAGCCAATCCAGCTTCGACATCTCTCACATCTGGACTCTGTCATTAGAGCAGAAGTAAAAAAACTACAACTCTGTCCAGTGTAGACAGAGTGGGAAAATCAGAGTTTTTCTGTGTTGGTACCATATAGAGAATTTGTCTCTCTAGTGATCATTTTTATTCTGATAGTTCTCTGGTGCAACGTCTCATACAAGGGTTGGAACTTTAATAGTGGCAACACTGCTGTAGAGATGCTATGCAACAGAACCAAATAATGCCGCTTATACCACACGTTAGTTACATACCTACCTTACCTCACAGCAAATGGACTCTCCCTTCCCACATCATGCACATGGACAGTGATGAGAAGAACAGAGCCTTGTGTTAGCTGGCGGTCTAATGTAGTGTTGTCACGATGTTTTTGAAACAGGAACAACGAAGATGGATGAAGATTGAATATGCCAGAGGCCGTACAGCACGACAGTGTCATCAAGTTCTTCAAGAGGCTTACGGGGAATCTGTATTGCCTTACAGAACAGTGGCAAGGTGGATAAAAGCCTTCAACGAGGGACACCAAAATGTGGCAGACATGCATAGGCCAGGTTGTCCTAGTGTCAGTGAAGAAGAAGTGTATGCTCTTTCCGCGTTACTGGAGAGCGATCGACGCCATACGATTCATGAGCTGGCATGAGAGACAGGATTAGCACATACGACTATGTTTCACATTCTGAAGGAACTCCTGGGCATGAGAAAAAATGCATCACAATGGGTTCCGCATGATTTGATGGAAATGGCTACAATATGACGCTGCTCATAACCACTTGGAGCGCTATGAGCGCGAAGAAGAGGCTTTCTTATGCCATATCATTACATCATTACGCTGGATAAGACATGGGCCAAATCGTACGAGCCACAAGTGAAACGCCAATTGAACAAATGGCGTCATTATGGGTCACCATGAAAATCAGAAGTTCGTCAGAATCCCAGCAATGTGAAAGTTATGGTGATTCTCGTGTACAACTGTGATGGTGTTATCCTAACGCATACCTTTCCCTGACAGAAGACCGTCAATGCGCAACATTACTGTTCATTTTTGGAACACAACCTATGACCAGCCTTGAGAAAGAAGCGGCGACACTTTCTGCAGAACCCAGCCAGCATTTTGCAGGACAATGCTTGGCTGCATGCAGCGCAAGCTGTGGCTGATTTGTTCGATCAATGGGGCTGGGAAGTGCTGTACCATCCACCATATTCCCTGGACTTAAGCCCTTGTGACTTCGACTTGATTCCTAAGATGAAGGAACCAGTTCGTGGCATTCGCTTCAGAACTGTTCCAGAGATTCTTCACGCAGTAGACCGCTCCATTCAAACTATGAACACAACAGGCACTACTAAAGGTATCCTATGACTTTCACATCACTGGCAAGAGGTTGTACACAATGCTGGTGACTACACTGAAGGACAGTAAAACTTTGAAACATGCATCTATTTTTTACCAGCTGTAAATAAATAGTTGACACTATTAAAGTTCCAACCCTCATATGTGTCGAGTTTTAATATTTTCTCTTCGCGCCATAGATGGTTTGTGCTGTGCTTAGCCTGTATACCCAATCTGGTGTTGGTACAAATGTCAATTGGGCCTAACAGAGTTGGCTTTGCCTGAAGATGGAGGTAGAATCCAGTCTCCAAGACGTATTTTAAATAAAAACAGAACAATGGATAATGTCCATAAATATAATATATGTATTAATGTACCATCGTCACAAACTTTTAGATCTTAGTAACTCCATGTGCCATTATATTTATAATTCTATGTTCACTACAAATTCAAAAGCACCCACCCAGTGTTTTCATTTGTTCAGTTTCATAGTTGTCTGTGTTCCTAGATATTTCAGTAGTGACTCCATGTTTCAGATGATGACCATGGTGTACCAAAACTCCCTTTATCATAAGATAAGATACAGGTCTCTGTTCACTAGAGGAAGATAAAGTGAAAAGCAACCACACATTGTTTTTATTCCTTTAGTTTCACAATTGCTTGTATTCCTAAATATTTAAGAATTAGCCTATGCTTCAGATAAATGACCATGGTAAATAGTAACTGCATTTATCATAATCCAAAAGCCATATGTTTCTACGTCAAATACGGGAAGCATATCATATGATATGCAACATCAAGTTCACTTCAGGTTTTGACATTACCATCATGAGGGTTACAACTGTTCAATGGTTCTAGAATTCTTCTGCCTCTCTTTGATGAAGTCTTTGGGATCCGGGGGGAGTGGTGTCCAGAAGATGGCGGAGGCCAAGTCTGATTGAGCTTCTCAAGCGCTACTCCCTCACTGCCTGGACTTGTAAGCATCGATGGTGACAGCCTATTCGGGAGTAGGGAGAAACCTGCAAACATTTGATTAAACATTTAAAACGAGTACGATTTTCTGGGTTGTAATGCTGTGTAGTTTGGAGAGAGACACGTTTCAGAGGAAAATACTGCCTCCATTTTCAGGGTCAAAGTGTAAGCCAAACAAGAAAGCAGGTGGTAAGCTGTGCAAGAGGACCATATTTTCATAGTCACTGCTGTGAGAACCCAAATTCCAATAAACATTTACAGTTAATGTGCATCTAGGGGCATTTCCAAAGGGTTTTTGCCCCTTGGATCTCGATGTCTAGTATAACTTGTAGTGTGTCAAAGTACAAAACAGGATGTGGTTGTGAGAGGGAGTGAGGAAACATGCCCCGAATGCATGTACACTTCAGACTGTGAAGTTCCTTGAAGCAAGTCAATGCAACCAAAGATGTAGCACAGTCACCAAGGCCCTCATTCATCTGAATCAATCACCGTGCAGTTGAACCGAAAAAATCGTATACCATAAGTATAATTTAAAATGTTATGTGAGCCATGTCTTCTGGATCTTAGATAGGATTGGATGGTATGGATCAGACTGATCTGGCTTAGGAAAGGGACAAATGGAGGGATCTTGTGAATATGGTAATAAACCTTCAGGTTCCATAAAATGTTGGAAAATTCTTGAGTAGCGGCATGAACTGGTGGCTTCCCAAGAAGGGCTCAGCTCCATGAAGTTAGTCAGTTTCAGTTGCAGAAGTTGATGTATAGCAAATTGGAAAGGAAAAGAAGAAATCACGGCCTGTCTCAAAATAATACAAGATTGACAGCTAAAACCTATACAAGATTTGAACTGGGTACCTCAAAAATATAAGTTTATTATTAGTGAATGAATCTGATCGGAATATTCTGAGGAGTTGTGTAGGGATGCAGAGTTTGGGGACATGATAATCTGTCCCAGTGAAGTCTACATGGCGAACTTGCAGAACTCAGTTCTTTCATAACCCATGCAGTTGTGTGAAGCATTCAGCACTGCACTACTGTCACATTTCTATTAGAATTACCCGCTGATGAGCAGATCCATAAAAATCCAGATGGGAAATTAATATAAAACACCAGAAATCTTTCTGGGACAAAAGGTTATTCTAAGTTTCTTGCAAAATTGAATATGTAAATAGAGGATAATTTAATCTGTGACAAATCAAAACCACAAATATTAAGTTTCTAGGTATTTATATTGATGAAACATTATCATGGAAGTCTCATATTGATAAATTAGTAATTAAAATGAGTGCAGCTTGCTATGCAATTAGAACTGTAAGAGGTCTCATGTCACAGGAAACCCTAAGGATGATCTACTTTGCCTATGTGCATACTATCATGGAATATGGGATAATTTTCTGGGGTAGCTCAGCAACTAGTATAAATGTTTTCAGAATGCAAAAGCGGATCATTAGAACTATTATGAATGTAAGAACTAGAGACTCATGTAGGGAACTATTCAAAAACCTAAAAATATTACCAATGTACTCACAGTATATATACTCTATAATTCTGTTTGTTGTAAATAATAGAGACCTATACAGTTCAAACTATGAGACCCACAATCTTAATACTAGACATACCACAAATTTGCACCTTCCCACATCACGCCTAACAATCTTTCAGAAAGGACCATATTATTTTGGTATTAAGGCTTATAACCACCTGCCATCCAGAATCAAGAGTATGAGTAATGATGTGAAACTATTTAAACTGAGGCTAAAAAGATTTTTTCTTTCAAATTCTTTTTATTCCTTAGAGGAATATTTTAACCACGTATGTAATTAAAATTGGTAATTGTACCCCTGATATGTTATAATTTTATATCATTACCTAAGTATTTTGTATCAATTATTGTTTTATAATTTTGATCATTTTATGCATTGTACATTAATATAAATCTTTTAACTGTCTTAATGACAAAAGTATGTATGTAGTTTTTGTATTTGCATATTTTAATCTATTAGCTTGGGACAAAATCCATATCCACTGGTCAGCTGTACCATAAGGATCAATGGAATGTATAAATGTAAATAATAAATAATAATCAAAACCACACCTAAAGTTGAATTCAGGTAGTCTGGGGCTCTGACATAAATCTTCACATGCCTTCTTCAAACAGTTATTATATTCACAATCTAACCAATACCAGTCTAACTTTAATGATTAAAGAGCTACATTATTACTACATCCTCTATGTTACATTGGTTTAACAATGCTTCCTCCCTCAACTTCTGAGACCCTGAAGCATCTGTACCATTGTGACTCAGTTAATCTGGTCCTCCCTAAAACTTGCCTTAAATTTAAATTAAAATGTATATAAATTTATGTAAATTATACTATAAACTGAACTTCTTTCCTTCCATCATATTTCAAACTAATAATAGCCAAGAACAATCATTTCTGTTATTAATTAATAATGAGATAGTTAATAAAACTGTTTAATTAGTGTCATTAATTTTGAACTTCACTATCAGTTATTTAAATTAAGATTCTGGAAACAACTGAAGTAAATGATTTACAGCTACTTACTTCCTTTCTCTACTGAGTCATTGTTTAAGTTACCAACATCTGGTGGTGACTGGAATTGCAGGTATAAAGGACGGAATGTGTCTGGAACAAAAAGAGTATGATATATAGAATGCCATTCAGCCAGGCATCTTGCTTTATAATTAGTCCTTATATTTGAAGATTATTATGCCTCTTCTTACAGTGACTTTTTCAGGTGGAAAAGTCAAGATGCTACACCCATCAAGTTCAGCCAGCACAGTTCAGTGCACAGAAATGTTGTCTAGAAAACTAACTCTGTTATCTTCACTGTTTGCATCCTGTCGTGTATCATGATTGATGGTATTTGGTCATTAACACAACAATAAATAAAAATAAACCAATCGAACTGCTCACATTGCTTTTATTTAATGGTTGTTACATGTTTCGGTTCACACATGGGACCATCTTCAGGCAGTCTCATTAAATATGTTTCAGGTTATTGAACTGACCTAATGTTGATAGATATTAATACTAATATTAATTTAAAATTATTTAAAATTCCCTTTTTGTTGAATGTAAAATTTTATGTTGTTTTTGTGTTTTTGTCCCACATTGTACATTGGCCTTTGCCCGGATTTTGCTGTTATACTGTAGTTAGAGAAGCAATTTGCGATAATACTAGTTTAATTTGTTCTCCCTTTAATTCTTGGGCATGTCATCATGATTTTGTAATTTTATTTAGGGTGTACTTTGTATTCTTTCTGTGTGGGCGTTCATGTTGTATCTGCTCCTGGTTTGTAATACTTGGATTTCCACAATAAGCATTAATCTGCAGAAACTTCATAATGAGAAGCTGTGATAGAAATCTATGCTTCAATTTGGTTTTCTATTTTCTGACAAGATTTCAAGATAAATGTAGTAATTCCACTTTGAATTCAGGGGTTAATATTGCTAAGAATTTATGTTGTGTCCTGCTTGTGTATAACTTGACAAAAAGCACACCCATTACACAAAACAGTTTCTACTAATATCCCCCCCCTTGCCACTACAGCCCCAGTGGGCCTAGGCCTACCTCCATGAACTCCATTCACTTCGGTTTTTCTAGCTCTTACACATACAGTAGGACTCCTTGGGCGAGTGATCAGCTCGTCGCAAGGCCTCTACCTGTACACAAACATAGAAAAACGCACACAAACATCCATTCCCTGAGTGGGATTCGAACCCCCGATCCCGGCTTCCGAGCGAGCGAAGACAGTGCACGCCTTAGACCGCTTGGCTACCGTGACCGGCTTCTACTAATATACCTTGCTGTTATTTTTGTTATGAATATCAACTGCACTGCATATTCCCCAACACTGTGTTAAAGCAGTTGAAAATCCATAACCCTAAACATTCTTTCACAAAGAAATTTCAGTCTGTCAAAATCCCCGAGTAATACTCGTACAGCAGTTGCTCCAGAACTTACCCCGTGAAGACAAAATGCCATTCTGACTAGTGTCCAAGTCAGTCGTCCATGACGACACGCCAACCCTAGGCCTCTGTTCATCCTGAAAAATGTGCAAATGTAAGTCACTGCATTTGATGAACCTATACTACACCTTCCTAGAGAAATGAAAAATGTACAGAGTTTGATTAAAAGCTTCAGTAACTTCCACTTAGATAGGTCTATTTGTATGGAACTATCGATTTTACTGGAAGCGGTAAGTTCTGTATAAACAATAATGCAAATTTCACCAGAAAACTGTCAGAAGTACATAATAATAACTAATTGAAAGTCTTCAAAAGACAGTTTCGTCTGCATTAAAAAATATACCATACATTGGTAAAACTTACAGAAAAGTAATATGATCTAGGCAGCCCTGTTAACACAAAGAAAACATTTTTCATAAAATTTTGCCTATAAAATCAAATTTCATTAAAAAAGGGCATAACCTCTTCTTTTCTTCAACTGGAAACCCAGCGTCACATTTCTCATTATATAATTTGGAATAGCAAGCTATCCAGTGTACACAGACTTAACAAAAATAGTTCATTGTTTATATGGGCTTAAATCTTTGGGTCCGTTGAGGCCATCTCCAGAGTCTTGATCATCATAAGTTATACAGTCATAAATATAAAGTAGGTTAAAACTGTTGAGTTTAAATTTTATGAACAGAAAGGTTTCTTGTTGGATGTTGTATCCTGAAGTCTAAGACGTACACATTGGCACTATACGTATCCAACAGGACATCCTGATATTCAACAAGCGACAACAGAAAAATTGTATCAATCAGAAGATATGAAGGACTTTTTACTGATAGTATTTTTAAAAATAGACAATTTCAGTGTACTCTATAATTTATGAATGCATAACTTAGCGATTTATACTAAGATCTACATCAGTTGTAAAACAAGTTCCTTTTACTGTTAAGTCTCTGAAGATTGCCCCCAAGGGCCGAAACATGTAAGGCCATATAAATACTGAAGTGTTTATATTAAACTGGGGCACGAAGTAGCGTTTTTCATTTTACCTAAACTTTCCAGCCATACTATGGTCCTGGGGTCGACTCAGCCTCTAACAGAAATGAGTACCAGGCATCTTCCTGGGGGTAAAGGGCAGCCGGTGCGTAAGGCTAACAACCTGACCACCATTATGAGTTCGGGCATTCAGGTAACCTTGAACGTCTGAGAGCATGCAGTGTTAGTATTGCTAATGGGAATGATTTATAATGTATGCCGATGTATGCCATTGAGGTGATCTCAGATGGCGTGACACATACTTACCAAGTTTCCTGACAATCAGTTTGGAATTCAAGTAATATTGTCACGATTTTAGGTTTAGGTTGGTGAATGGATTTATTGACCACGTTAACACGACTTGTAATTAAACTGTACTGATCACTTACATGGACTAGTGTCCTCAGTCTATTAGTCTCCACTAGCAGTTTCCTGGCAACGGATTTTAATAAAGGAACTATAACAGTCTCACTGAATTACACACTTCAAAAATCATACACAGTCTCCTTTTCACAGCTGCACTCTTGCAACTATTTCTCTTCTTCACAGCCCCCTGTACAGAACTCTTCTCAACTGACAACCCTCAACTCCTGTACAGAACTCTTCTTAACTGACAACCCTCAACTCTCTGGGTCCCAGGCTGGCAGTCATTTCATACCAACCTCCTCGTCTTCTCTTCACAGGCTGACTTCCAATTGACAACTGACAACTGAACTGATCAAGTCAAAGTCACATTCTGACTGACGGTCAGTCAGTCAGTCAGTCAGTGAGTCTTGGTGTCAAGCCCCAGATTATTACTATTTGACAGTTCCAATATTGTTTCTGTGAGGCGCCCACTCTGACGAGAAGACGGGTTTGTCTTTTGTACATGCTGCTGGCCCTTTCCAGAGCAGCGTTTTTCATGTCCGAGTCCCCTGGGACTCGCGACCATATTTTAGTTTTTCAGATTTGAGATATCCCTTTTCGTCGCCTCCTACAACTCGTAGGGTCACAGTGGAGGTATTCGACTCCGCCTCCACACTAGGGTGAACTGATCAACTTAATTGTCTTCAAGATAACTCCTCGGCGCGACCACATCAGAAACGCCGTTCTTGCACGCGTTCGTTTTCCCAGGAACGTGTTTACCGTGCCGATGCATAGAAGCGGGTTGCATAACCCCGTTATTCTAGTGTTGCGTGCGTGTATGTTACGGGCGTTACCTAGTAACGGCTACTTTTTACAAAATCACCGCTCAGCAACGGGTCTATACGCCACAATATTAAGGGTATTACCTCAACAATTTGAGAGGCTATAGTGTTGGTATTAGTGATGAGAGGGATTAATCATGTATGCCGTTGACATGGACTCGGGTGACAAAAGACATATCTCATATATATATACACCATACAAACCATGTTTTATTAAGATTGGCACGGGCGTTAATGCGACATTAAGGTTTATCTCAGAAAATGGGGAGGCTTCAATATTGGTATCACTGATGGGAGGAATTTATGATCTACGCCGTTGAGATGACTTCATAGAACATGATATGCTTACCAAGTTCCATGAAGACTGGTACAGGCGTTCAACTGTTATTAAAATTTTTCCTCGGCAATGTGAAAAGCTGTAAAGTTGGTATTGCTGATGGAGAGTATCTATGATGTATTCCATTGAAATTGGCGCAGGTGGCATGATATACATAAGAAGTTCCATGACGATCGGTTCAAGCATTTAAGTATCATTACGGTTTGTAACACAATTCATGAGGCTGTAATGTTGGTGTTACTGCCCGAAGGGATTTCTGAAGTACGCCGTTGAGATGGGTTCATGTGACGTGATAAAATTTCATGAAGACTGGTACAGGCGTTCAAGCAATATTAATGTTTTGCCTCAGAAATCTGAGAGGCTGTATTGTTGGTATTGCTGATGTGAGGGATTTATGAATCGTGCCGTTGAGATGGGCTCGGCTGCCACGATATACATACCAAGGTCCATAAAGACTGGTTCAAGTATTCTCAAGTTGTTAGAGGGGATATACATACAGACACACAGAGAGCAAGGTGATTTCATAAGTCTACTTTTATTTTCTTAGATAAGGAAAGTAAGCTAAAATGGGCCAGTGTAAAAGACAGTTGTATAAAATGAAACGAAAGGATAAACGAAGAAAAAATAAAACATATAAATTTTGTCACCGACTTTTCTTTTTAATATAGCAACCCAGAAGAAAACTGAATGCAGTTTGACACAAGATATTGCAGACGATACTAGTCGAAAGAGTCGAAACACAGCTCAGAATAAAGAACCGTCCTCTTCCGTAACGACAGGTAGTGGCTCTCCATGCTCGGTGGTAAAGGCAAAGAGAATACTAGACAAACTGGAAGTATGATTGGTGAAGGCTTTGGTGATCCCTTATGAAAAGAATCCTCATTGTCTTATTCCTTCTTTCAGGGAATTCAGCTTTGATTAAATTCTTTTAATGCAGAGCAGGCATTTGAATTTCAAGTGGTGGTTCTTAACTCAATATAAGTGATACAAAATCGATCTCAATTCCTTTGCTACTCCACCTCTGCATCCCCATAACTCGCAGTGTTACAGCGGTAACACGCCTTGTCGTGGAGTATCATTTATGTTCACCAACAAGCTGCAATGAAAAAGAGGCCAGTAATCAGCATTTCACTACTCCCAGTCATGCAGGATATGCGACGCCATCAGCGAATAACCGAAATACAGACGTATGGCAATCAGCTTACCCATTTAGTTCAACATTATCATGTGACATAGGCCGCGCCATAGCTCAAGCGGTTAGTAGCTGGCTTCCCACCGCGGCGGCCCGGGTTCAATCCCGGATCTGGTCAAGTGGGATTTGTGGTGGGTAAAGTGGCGCTGGGGCAGGTTTTCTCTCAGTACTTCGGTTTCCCCTGCCAACCTTCATTCCACCAATTGCTCCACAATCACCCTCATCTATCATCTGGGGCTGGTACAATAGGCCAGAAGTGACCGCAGTACCCCTCTAGCATTGAACTGATCAGGTGATATTAAAGCAAGCAGTCATTTCTCCTTCAATTGAAAAAAATTTTAATGTGGATTTTGTACACCTTTGTAATATATTAATAAGAATTACTATATTTAACTGAGAGTTTTAATGGTACTCATCATTTGTTTTCGATTATTATAAATATACAGAGCGTAACAAAATGTCAAGAAATTATTGAAACAGCAAACTGCTGGGATAGTTGTGATATACGCTTGCGTACAACTATGTTACACGGGACCTCTCCTTCCGCTCCAGTGACTGGCCATCGAAACAGATTTCCTTCTTCTGACCGACAATTTTCCTGTATAGACAAGTGCGACGAGTGTTCTGGGACCATGTGTAATGAATTGTTCACGAAGTGACTGCGTCTCTCCTATATTCCTACTCTTAAAACTTATCCCGGATTTCTCCCTCCCCCCAAATATGATCACCCTTTCAAAAACTGCCCCTCATCCGTTTATTTACGTATTCTATCGCCAATTAATCGGACAATCATCATTTCTCTTAGTCATAATTACATCGCTTATCTGATTAAACACTAAGCCATAACACGTACGGAGGAGTGCGTTTATTCGTGACCTCGGCAGTTGTTGGAGGTGAGTGGCCAGCTCCACGCCCCGGCCGCTCCACCCATGGGAAAAAAAAACCAGGGTAGTCAGGGGCGAAGAGGCTGGGTGAGCCTCAGAACCGGTCTGGACGAGCTGGAGAGGAGAAAAAGCCTGCCCCTACCGGAACTTGAACTCCGACCCCTCGGCCGTCCAGCCCGTAGCCAGTCGCTATACCGACGGCGCTGTCCCTACTCCGACCAATATATTAACTCATCAATGTACTCACGCACTCGTTCTTCACTCAGTAAGTGGTTAATTTCTCGCTCACTCAGTAATTCGCTCAGAAATGGATACCAATTTCCGCTGGTTCACTCCCGGCGTTCGGTTCCCTGTATCACGGACTACTCTTTCCGTTCGGCTCATTCTTGTACACCGAAGGTGGGAGCAGCCGGTTATTATCAATTATATGACGTCAGATCCAGAATATCGT